TGTCCTAAATGTTGTATCATGCGACAGTAAAATTCTTTACAGTGATCATACGGACAAGTTCATGAAGAAAGTCGCACTTTGTTGTCATGAAATGTTAAGTCCGCGAAGGGCAGAAAACTGCAAGGCAGTGAACGAATTTACGGAACAGCCTGTACTGTAAGAACAAGAGGTGGAGGTGGAGGGGGGAGACCTGTCTACCGCAGGCCCGCTGCGAGGGTAATCAATGATCCGCGAGACCCGTGATTAATTCAGACTTTCCCTTCTGAAAAATTGTACGTGACATGAACAGAACTGTGAGCTGATAACATAAATACGACGTCTGGATCAGCTTGCTTCTGTGCTAATGGGACTGCCATGAGTTTTCTGAACTGTACCGAACCAATCGCTGTACAATCAATCAATCTTCCCGGCCACTGTCTCCGTACTGTACCCGTACCAGACACTTCGTTAAGTGTCTCAAGAGGTCAAGACGTCCTGTACCTGAGTACGACGCCAGGGAGACGTAGGGAGCCCATCATCATCAGCGTCAGATGGGGCAACTGGTCAGTTCGTTGCAGGGGAATGTGAGAGCCCCAAAGCCAGACTGACGAAGTGAAAAAGCCACCTCCACTGCGGCCCACAACAGCTCAACGGGCCGTAAAGGGCAGAGGGCCTGAAAGGGTCGGAGAGTGGGCGTCACCAGTTTCTGCGCGTATTCGAGCAAGGGATACGAGCGTGGTTTTAAAACGCCTGGCTCTCTCGATTAGGGCAAGCATTTCGACTGTAGGATGCGTTCAAAATCAGTTGCTGTCGGTGTTAAACATCGCTATAATACTAGCACTGAGAAGAGAGAAAGAAACAATAGAACAATATATTCCGCATGTTAAGTGTGTACGAAAGAACTGAATACGGTACGATCTTATCGGCGCAGCCAACCTCACGGCACAGCTCGCCACAGCCTTAACAGAAAAAAAGCTTCAAAATGTTCAACATCCCTTGTGGGGATCGAACCCACGACCTTTGGATTAGAAATCCAACGCGCTATCCTCTGCGCCAAAGGGACTACGTCACGCATCACGAATCAAAGTTAGGTACAGAGTAAACTGTACCCATGCATGTTTTTAAACTTGCAAAACTAAAATGGCGATGAAATAACCCAGGAAGAGTTATGCTTCAAGAATGAGCAAGATTCTGGGTATGAGGACTTGCAATTTGCCATATGCCGTATACTGAAATACAATATCAGCATTGTGCGTCTGTGACAATAGGCAGGATGCGGCCAGCTCTTGTGTGCGCAGAGAGAGGGTCCCGGTCTGAGTACACGATTCCCTGGCGGAGGACAATAAACCTGGCCTGTAACATACACGGGGCGTTCGGAGACAACGTCAACTGCTGGAAGCGAGCCGTAACCTTCTAAGATTCGTTCCAGTAGGACGTTCAGAAAACAAATGAGGCCAAACTAAGTCCAAAGTTTACG